GGCCATCGTATCGGAGTGCAGGGGAGATATGAGAGCGAGAAAGTGTAGCCTTGCGGTATCGATTCCAATCGCGACGTTCAGAGAGCGAGAGAGCGGGCGTTGGCGTTGGTGGGGGAGCTGATATAGGCAGGAGGAGTCGGAGCTCTCGCTTAGCCTCAGCGTCCTCTGTCCCTTCACTGACTCCCAAGTCAACGAAAAGAAGCACCAGTACCGCTCATAAGACGGCAGCGGCTTGATAACCACGGCGAGGAGCCTCTGGTAATGCTCATGCATCCCTCCAACACGCTCAAGCAAGCCCATCTCAAGGCCAAGCATCCCTATGCTCGCCTCCTCCAAGACCCGGTAGTGCGCCACCACTTCCGCAAGCCCCGACAGTACTGATGTCGACGAGCTCACGCACATCCGATAGCGAACAAGGGAATGACATGTCGGTCGTCTTAAGGATGTCGCAGGCGCAGCGACTGCATGTCAGCTTGTCGTTGAGCTGTACAAGTTGAGGACACAGCTCCCATCGGACCCCTGGATGCACACCACTGACGACGCGTCCTAGCAGAGACCGGGCTGCGGAGGCCATCAAGCTGTCCCGACAGTCGCTCGCGGCATCGACGACCCGCTCATCCGACGGATTCGGGTACTCAACCTCAATCAGCCTCTCCCGCATCACGACAGCCCTGCCCGGTCCGGCAAACCCCCAGAACACGACGACCCCGACAAAACAGAAGGTCTAGACGGGCGAGCACTTTGTGTTCGAAGATGGTAAAGCGAGCCTCCCATTGCCGCTGAGCACGGGGCTCGGCAGCCCATGTGCGGATCGGATGCGAGACCAAACTCCAAGGATGCACGGAGAGCACCAAGGGGGAAGCATCTTCGCATCGACATTGTCTATGGGCAACCCGCGTTGCGGCTTCCGAACACCCGTGGAAGGGACGCTTCTTCGGTTGAGTGCAGATACGCTGGTGCGCTCAAGAGGCCTGGCACCACCCACTTGCAAACAAGCAAGGCTGGAGGTCAAGAGCCTATGCAACGCAAGGGCTAGGGCGTCTCCATAAGATCCTGGAGCATGCTGGGAGTCAGGAAGGATAGAAGACCAGATGTGCGTGCCAAGTGCAAGTCGATCATCTCGGACACATGAGACGACGGGCCTCCAGGCGCCGGGAAACCTTCAGCTAGTGCTTAGAGGAGGGCGCCGCCAAAAGCTTGGGCTGGTCATGCCGATGCGCAATGCAGTTAGGCTTTCTGAAGCTGCATGGTGTCTTCCTCGAAAGACATGACAAGTGCCTCCTTGCTCCCCGCGATTTGGTAGCGGTAACCGAATGGATCAGGCGACACCCGTTATGCCATACGTCGCAAGCGTCTCTGATCGATACCAATCGTCGTCGTGAACAAAGACCGGCAGCGAAGTTTGCCCAGGACCAAGTGAGCTGGACTGTGATGACGTCATTGTCCCAACTTTAATGAGCTGAGGTCGGATGGCCTCTATGACCGTCTACTGGGAAGCATGCCAGTCGAGATTGTGACCGTGTAAATCAGCTGCAACAGAGCAGTCTTCTACTGTGGGCCCGTCGGTGGACACCATTGGCAAGCTGAACAGGTGTATACGTATATGATTCTTTTTATGCGATCTTGAGACTTGATGTTGCTGTCCAAGACAACATCGCTTGCGACAGCGAAGTGGAGTGTTTCAAAAGTCTAAGAGAACGGCATTGCAGCCTCTTCATCTTTATGATACAATTCGAAAGACGGACCAAACCGTTCGAGATGTGGATTCGCCAGCGTGTATGCATGATCATCCCGAAAGACTTCGCAAGGCAGCTCATGAGGGTAGTGTCCAGGTCTTCCGTAGCGAGCTGTATAGTCTACAGATCCTCAAGTCACACCCCTTGGAACAGGTTTGTGACGAAGGGTCTCTGGCGATGGCGAGCCACGCGCGAGTATGCGGTGCTTCGTCCATGGGGCGTGATGACGAAGACGTCAGAGTAGCTTTCTGAAGCAGTATTAACCCCACGGCGCTGTGAAACCCCAGATCCAAGCTCTTTCTATGCCACTGTGGTCTGGTGTCCTGAGAGACGATTTTCGGCGGTAGCGCGCTTGCCTGGTACTGCAGCGTTTGCTGAGAATTGCTGTTAGAAAGTGCGAGGCCACAGGAATAATGATGGGTCTGTGACGCGTCTCAAGGACGCGAGAAGCCACTCATCAAATATGTCCCATCTGAGCCTGATCTGCTGCCGTGACAAGAGCTATTCAGGAAGACGACGTCGTTATGGTTTAGAGTCATGTATGGCTCAGCGAAGACTAGTGCCGTGCGCATGCGCGAGCGCGTCGCTAGTCCGCTGCGGAAGCCATCACCATCAGCTCGCTGTATGAAGTCGCCAGAGAAGACAGCGTTTGATATGTATCCTTGTTGATGCGTGTTGCGTAGTCGGCTGATTGGTGAGGAGGTGTTGAAGTAGGAGGCGTAGTCTGGCGAAGGAAGCGGCCCCGCTGGCCGCCGAGGATGCTTGCGGAGATGGCTCGGGCTCGGCAGCCGCGCCAACGTCATCATCCCCCTTCGCGTCTTTGTTCTTCTTCCATCCTCATCTTCATCGCGTGTTCTACTACGCACATGTGGTGGCATACGACGACATGACGACGATGTCGAGCCAACCGTTGCGCTGTGGTAGGAATGAGGTTTGTTGACTGCGGCAGGCTCGCGCGGCTGCGGCTGACGTTCTCGATGGGCCACGATGTTCGAGGGACGTGGAATGCGATACGACAGTAAGCTCAAGGCTCGTGGTGCAAGGAGCGATCGTGTTTGCGCATGCGGAAGTCAATATTGGACACTAAGCAAGAGTTCGCGACGGGAGTTCTCTGGTGGTACGCCATGGATGTCGACCACGGGGCAGAGGCAGTGAAGGTGGCCTATGCAATGTCGAGGGGTTCTAAGATGATCGCGTTGATGGTCAATCCTATCGAGGGCAAGGCACGTACGCGCTCAGAATCTCGGGATTGTCAAAGAAGGTCAGTGCTCCCCGGAGAGTCGTCAGGGGCGGAAGGTCACGACATTTGCCACATCAAACGAGTCCAATGCTTGGTGTACGATCAGAGGGACTGACGATAGCAGACTTCTCGATCCATAGGTCATGGCATACTTCTATCGGCTCATAGCAATGTCGTCAATATCCAGTCACCTTGAGAGTCACATCACAGCACAATGCGACATCTTCAAGCATCGAAGGTACGTGTAGCCGACTACACATGAGATCTCACATATCATCTATGTTACCGACGAAACCTGTATCTGCCATATAGATTTCTGGTGCCGTTATCGCTACGTGGTTGAGTACAATGTCCCCCCTACCTGAAGCCAAGCTCCAGCGTCAACAACATCCCAACCCGTTATCCGCGTCGCCCTTACAGTTCGTGATCAAGCTGCGCTGCTATTGGTTCCACATACTCTCCCGGCTGTCTGCCCTACTCCATGTTCTCTCCGTCTTCATCTTCGATATTCTCCAGCCTTCGCCGTGAGGGAGACCCGGTCGATCGTCCCGAGCCCTGTGACCTAGAAAAAGGTTGCGCGGGCGATTGTGTAGGCTGTTGACCTGGTTGCTGGTGGGGAGAAGGCCGGACCGGGGTCTGGAAGTGCGCAGGATGGGGGCCAACAGGCCTTCGGCGAGGACGAGGGAGATCCGGTTCAGGTGAAGCCTCCTGGCGCGCAACCTGGCGCTCGAAAGCTGCCTGATTCGCTTGCTGGTGAAAAGGTGTCATGGCCGCCATCGAAGACCCAAGTCCTTCGGAAGCCGAGTTGTCACCAATCGTCTGCGTCGTCTGAGGAGGCAGTTGCGGAAAGGCGCCGATACCGTATCCGAAAGGGTTCGATGGGGGAATGCCCAGCTGCTGAACAGCGTTTCTACGCAGCACTGGTGTGAATAGACCTCGAGGCGGAATTTGGCCACCAGCTCCAAACCTGTTGCCAACTCCAGCTTGAGCCTGAGCGACCGCGGATGACGTCTCTGTATTCCTGTGCGCCGCATGGTTCTCTTGAGCGTCGGAACGGCGCCTGTGGTACTCATTCCCGGTCTGATCTCGCAAGACTTCGCCGGCCCGAGCCAAGTCGCTTTCGAGGCCTCGAGATGTACCGCGTGGTGGTGTTTGCGGATCTTGTGGACGAGAAGGTGTTTGCACTCGAGGTGCTCGGAGCGGCGTTGGTGGATCGTCCACTCGTCGGCGATACCTGAGTACAGGTTCTGGAGCGGCGGTCATGTCGCCCTCGCTTTCTCCGTCGCCTTCATCCCCGCTGGTCGCCTCGCGGCCCTCTTCAAGCACTTTTTCGGGCTCGTGTCGGCTGCTTGAAGGCACGCGCGAAGCACGCGGCGGGCTGTCTTCGTTCTTGGTATTTTGAGGACGCATCGCGGAGCTTGTTGCAGGTAATAGCGCAATGAAGATGTCGTCAGGATATAGGGTTGAAGGATTCTGAAGAAGATTGGAGAAAGGGATGCGGTGATCCAGCGTCGTGGTTGAGCGAAGCCTCAATGTGGGGTAATGGAAAGTGAATATATACGCGACTTCCAAACGCACCGGTCATCTCAAGTCAGGCCAGACCTCCAGAGCTCTGGTGACCCAGGTCCACCGAGTCAGCCCCAAAGCGTTCTTTACAGACCTCTATGCGGCGCCAGACCTACGAGAGACGTCAACGACATCCTCGCGACCTAGCGTCGGGGACTATTATGCACTCATTATTTTGATCGAGGAAGGAGATGACGGAACGGACTGGGAGACGCTCATACTAAGTACGATCGCCTGCTTGTTGGTTTTTACTAGAAGATGCTAACAAACTATCTTGTGTCAAGCAACAAGCGTGTAGTGCCTGTACATCATCCTTCCCGATACAAACTTCAATGCCACATCTCAGACTTCTGCCAACATCGTACTGGACACAATGCGACCAAGAAATCAATACTTGTCCTAGCTCCCGAAATCTGGCCACATACTCTACATGTCGTCTAGGCCAATAAGACTTCCTCCTACTTGTTCCTGGTGGACCGCCTCGGCTGTCTACGTACCGTCGACGGCTCAGGCTCCTTGTTTCTGTCTGCGGGTTTCGGCATATTCTCGCGGAGATACTCGTCATAGTCCCTTCGTGCCTTCATCGCATCCTCTAGACTCACCACCTCAGCTTCTTTGTTGCCAAGTTTCGGTAGCCCTTTGTTGTAAAGTGGAAGCGCTGTCTCGTATTCTTCTCTGGTGTCGAAGGGAAGAGAACGCCAAAGACTGTCTCTGGTCTCCTTGATCAGATGCGAATGGATCTTTTCGAGGTCTTCGCGATACATTTGTAGCGCGAGGTCTTCGTCAGGCGCTGACATGTCGCTCAGCACGGAGATGTCTTCGAGATCATGGATAGGATCGTCTTTGGCGCTGGCTTGGGGAGCGTCTTCGATACTGTCTTCAACATCGCCTTCAGCATTGTCCTGAACACCGTCCTCATAGTCATCCTCGAGAACGTTTTGAGGTTCGATATGGAGATCGTCGCTGCCTTCGTCTTCAAGGTCGTCTTGCAGATCATCTCCGAAATCGTCTCCGTCAACATCTACAAGGCGCTCCTCGAATCCTTCAGCGAAATCGTCGTCAACTTCCATCGGCCATGCATCCTCCGCGGCTGGTGAGAAGTTGGCGTCTCCAGCGCCCTTTGGCGCTGCGGAGCCCTCGTCAACCCCAGGAAGTCCGGTTTCCGGTTCAGAGCTGCTGCTCGGGGGATACCTGACAGGTTGGTACTGGTGGTCATGCAGGGTCGGAAGACGGTGGACCTTGCGATCAGGGCGTGCAGGAGGCTGAGGACGTTGTGGCCCTGTCGTGTTGGGTGTTCGATTGAGCGTCTCAAGCCAATTACTCCGCGGCTTTGGTGTTCTGGTATACCAGTGTGACGGACCACCGAGGTCGACTGTAGGCTCATCTGGCACCTCTTGCCACTGGGTAGCCGGCTTAAAGTTTCCGTCGTTGTCTCTCACAAGTGGCGTCACTCCCTTCATGTCCACGAACGTCTTCACCCTCGGCTTTCCTGTACCACGCTCGTAATGGTTGCGCGTCCGTTCGTCGTTCATCTCGTTGGGGTATTTATCGTAATACGCCAGCGCCCATGGCGAGAGCCTCTCATCGTGGTCAAGGCCAGTGCGATCTAAGTTGCGCAGCCAAAACCGTGGTCTGTCTTCCTGATAATTGAACTCGGCTACTGTGACTCCCCAGCGTTCAGCGAGGCCCTCGTAGTAGCTTTTCGTAAAGATACCGTCCTCGGAAGGCTGCGGGGAGGGAGTGCGGCGGGCATCCGGCGATTCGCGTGCAATTTCCGGAGAGGCTGTAGTGTCCTGGATTCGTTGTAAGCGATACGAAGTGTGTCTGGGCATCTTCGCGGTACCTCAGTGAAGAAAGCGTCCAATGTAGAGCCTTGGGCTGGGGGATACGATGACCGCCTTGTACCCGCCATTGTTGCGAGTGACATGAGATGCTGTTCTTCAGTGCGGGTGGAGGTAAGTATACGGGCAGTCTATTTGTGGTCCGTGTGATCTCTGCTGATCTCCTCGACAGTGAATTACAATGTCTTCGGCTGCGGGCTGATTACTACTGGAGACGAGTAGGACATATAGCACATGACGGAATGCCCTATCATCTCCCAGTCCAGCGTCTGGGATCTCATGCGTACTTGACGCTACGTGAAGCACAAGGATACGCGAGTTGGACGATCTTGCGGATCCGCTGTTTGCGAAGCATGCAAGTGTATAAGGCGCTCAATTCGTCCGCCCATCGATATTTTGGCCCTTGTGGCCATTGCGATGACCTAAATCACCATTTGGATGTACAGCGCTCACAAGCGTCCTGTCTACCAACCATGATCATCAATTTGAGAAGATGCCCGGGTTCCTGGTTCGAATACGACGAGGTTTTAACGGACAAAGGAAGTACACATTAGTTTCGAATAATCATTGTTTCATTAGCAGCTAAAGGAACAGTGACGTTGTGTAGAGGCTGTTGCGGGTAGTCTGCGTACTGGGAAAGACAAGCGAGTCGCGAAGTTTGTAGCACGATTTGGCTAACTTCAGCACGGCACGCGTCCCTATCATCACGTTCCTTGGTCACTGAGGGTCGGCTTTGACATCTCGGCAGCTCGCGTACCGAGTGATAGAATGAGAAACATTTCCGAATGCCCGACTATACATGAAGTCGCTATAAACTTTTACGCTTCTGCGTCACGCCCCCTGGATCAAGTTATTGCTATACAAGAAAAGACGCGCAAGTCTCTAGTCATGTATGGAAACCGAGGCGAAAGCTTTGAGCCTCTTCCGTTCTCGCGATCGAGGGCGCCATGATGGTGCATACACAGTCTCTTCACCACCATCGAGCTTCCGCTTGGTGCGCGGCCCACGCAAGTTCTCAAGAGCCTCCCGATTGTTCTTGGTCAACCTCTCAAACATTTTCCTGCTATATTCATCTCCCAGGTTCAGGGAACCTCCAATGGCCGAGCATGCATTGGCAAGGGCTGCGAGATCGTTCATGGACACGTAGCGGGCGAGGAGTGCCTGGACTGTGGAGAGCCGCATCGCGGAGACGAATCCGATTTTGTTGTTGGCCAGACCCCGTATCTCTGTCGTGTTGAAGCTCGGAGAAGCCTTCACACTATCCTTCTTCTCGTCTTGCAGGCGTTTGATGAATTCGTCGATGAGGGGGGCACACTGGAGCTCTTTTGTTGCGGCCGGACAGGTGGCGTGGAAGTTTGGCGATGTTGACACAGGTGGGGAGAACGCGCCAACACCACGCGCGGCGAGGACGTCGTGGTCTATAGCCTGTGCCGAGTACTTGGTGTTGGGGCCCGTTACTTCTGGACAGTGTTAGAGATGTAGGGCGGACGAGTATGGGGCCTCTGTATCAGCTTGATCTATGCTGATGGTAGGCCTTGCATAGCTGTTGCAGGTAGACATGACGTTTCGCATTTTGATTGCCGAATTAGGAAAGGCGAGTCCGTCGCGAACGCTGTTGACGACGTACAGATTGTCACAATTGACTTGCCTGTGCAGTCTCTTGGGTGGAAAGGAGAGAAGAGCACACACGAGACTAACGTTCGGCAGCTTTGTAAATCGAAGCATGACCCGGTGACGCTGTCTGTGCTCCAAAGTCGCCTCGAGATCAAACAATTGCCTAGTGCGCTCTCGGCGCGCCTGGAAAGGATACCCTGTTATATGAAACGCAAGCGACCAATAGGAGGCCACGTAGTTGCGGGAGATAGCTTTACGTATGCGAAGTTTTAGATGCTCAGAGATTGCTGGTCAAGTGAGCACACGGCCTGTGACACTGGAGGGTATGTGATAACGAGCTCAGTCGAAATGAACTCCGAAGAAACGGAGATATGGCTGGTCAGAAGTCTCCCTCTATATACACGTACTACCTTAACTGGAGAGAATGATGTATTGAGAGCATGGATATCCGAGTTCCATCAGGCACAGGATTTTGACCGCATCTGCGACGAGTTCCACTAGGGCACAGCATTACTCAGCCAAGAAAAGACATCAGCTAGACAAACCTTCGTCTCGTGCTTATGGACAGGTTCGAAAGGCTGGCCGTAGTGACGACGCATTGGCTCAGTGGACCTACCTACCGGTTTCGGAGGAGGTGCCAAGCATTGTTTGGCACGATGTGCCTCAGTAAAGCGCTGTCTTCGCGTAGTCGGCCTCTTGTTGAGCTGCATACCGCCTGTACGCATACATTTCACTACTGGAGGGGTTGTTTGGGGGCACAGACCTCGACTGGGCGTCCAGCCATATCGTTTACTTTGCAACTCACAACATCTGGACCAGAGCCCGCTACGCCCCCTCTGGTTCGTTTTCAAGATACTTACAGCCGCGAACAAATTCCTGCATGAGAATCGCACCCATTCTACGAGTGTAGCGCAGTGTCATTGCGACTAACACCCCTCCAACGAACGGCGAACTGCGCAGAGACGGATCTTGATACAACAAGAATTGTATGCGCTACGATTCGCGAGAACAGGAACTCAAAGACTAACAGTTACGGCAGATATGGTTCCTATCACATCGCTGAATCAAGTATAGTGTGATCCAATGGCTTTCCACCCAAACGCCTTGACTGGCTTCATCGCCGAGACTCCCACCTCGAGGATAAAGCCAATACTCACGAGAGCCATGATCGAAGCCGACGACCTTTGCATGAATCACCAGAGCATCGCACCGCTCTTAGCAAGTATCTGGAAGTACAGCTCTAGTTGTGTTTCTTCGACACCCACAGCTGTCGAATTGGCTGCCAGCCACCGTTACTGGCTGCCATGCGGATGTCTAGCAGAGGAATGGATAACCTTCTTCACCTTCGCCGAGGGATGGCTCGATTTAGCGCCGCCTGGAGTAAGGTCGGCCTACGAGGAAGACCTGGTCGACAACTTTGGAGTTTGGCCGAGCTTCGCGAGGACCATGCAGGATGAGACCAGTCTGTCCACCAGCTATGATTGGTTTCTGCCAGGAGAGTTATCTGAGCAACTTGCTCCCCGTTGCTCGCATTCTCAGCACTTGACCCACTCACAGACCCCGCGAGTTGCCGAAAAGACCCCATACCCCGACGTCGCCAGAGACCCTTCAAACGGGACTACGCTCAAAGATGGATATGGTCAGCCTAACTTGGCGCGCCGTAACATTACAGACACAACCGGGCTGAGGAAAGGTCTGCTCCTGGAACAACTATCAGAGACAAGTCCTCATGCGCTCCGCCAGTCGTCTGCGGCTCCGGTAGGCTTGTCCGTCCAGTCATTCCCGTTCCCGGCCGTTGTCGCCCCCCAGCGCTTGTCGTCCGCTCATCCTACACAGCATGTACCTCAAGCACGCCCACTGTTAGCACCGGCCCAGTCCGCACAACAGGCGTCTCAGGGAAACATGCAGCCAGCATCGGCTCTAGTTCCAGGCCCTCATCAAGGTCAGCACTCTGTCGCCCAAGTGCCTGTGTTTCCTTTGCGGTCTATACGCAGCGGTGAAGCTGCTTTCGAGCAAAACCCGGCGGCTCCGCCAGTTTTCCATCAGCTGCTTCAAGCAAAGGGTATTACCACTGCGGGCTTCCGACCAGGAAGTGAACTTCCACCGGGTAACAATAACACCGCCTGGAGTGCTGAGCGTATCCGAGCATTTGTGGAGATCGAGGGTAAAAGCATCCAACGACTACCTTCTCTTGCAATTTCAGTACATGGCACTGAGATGACCAACTTCCGGACACCTGCATCCGTTGACATGCGCTGCTGCCCTTTTGAGACGTCGATTGAGGAGATGTTTACGGCAAGTGCAACATCCGTGTGATTCAAGCACATTAGCAAATCACTAACAACTTGGCAGTACTTTCCAAATAGCTGCACGTCCACTCGCGAGACGTGTGTCCGGGCGATGCGTCATTGGAGACCCATGGACATATCCCGCTACATTGTAAGTGTGGCTTCAAATCTTGGATTTTGACAGAAGACTAAGCTAACGCCATTCTCACCAGAACTATGCACACGATACTCAGACACCGGGAATCTGTAGTCGTTCGAAGATCTCGTATCATTTTAAAGCCGCTGAAGAATGGCAAGAGGAGCATCCAGACTTCGTTCCCACCGCCTCCCTTCGCAACGTCAGCAGAGACAGCCTCTTGAAAGGCGAGAACAGGATACTGCACGACTTCTTCCTTTACAACATGGGTGATGGTGTGGCTCATCCACCTGCTGGACGTCAAGCGCAATTGTTGACGCGTGTCATCGAGCACGTTCGAAGGGTCACCGGGGATCGCCACGTTCGTCTCAGTCAAGCTGCTGCGTACGCAAGGCAGTACAACATCACAGTACCGGTTAATGAGCAGATGAACGTCACAAACCTAGCTGTGGAGGACCAGTTGCCGTCGCCCGCGAGGCTTTTGGCGATGAAGGCCGACTACTGGAACAAATTCGGCGACCATCCGTAGTTTGGAGTCGCTGATGAGACAGACGAGCGGGGAGTCGTTGGCGCAAGAGCCGCGCAAACAGGTTTCGATACCCAGGTACTAGTGGAGGCGTCTTTTGTTGGTTGTGCCTTCGGGCGTTCAGTAAAACGTTGTCGGCGTTGGAAGCGGGGCGGCCGATCCCCAGGTTGCGAAGTTTGCCGCCAAGCATGCCCCTGTCCATAATCAGTTTAGTGTGGGGGGAGCCTCAAATGGCCGAACAGCTGCAACCACCTCATCTTCGCTCATCCATCATGCGACCATCATCACTCGCAACAATTTTCATCAGACCATGGAACTCGTTGCTCGTTGTGATCTATGCTGCGATGCTCAAGCGATCAAAGCTTAGTAGGTAATCAGGAATCAAGGTTTGCGACGGCTCATGGTAGTATGAGCAAGAATCTGTGATACCATGATTAATACCCATATCAAGTCTTACCCTCGTCTCAAGCTTGCGTCCATTCATCACGTACCGACTGCAACTTTGAAGCCATTTCTTTCTCCGCACATTCTTTACTATCGCGTATATCCTCACTATGCCGGCAAGCACAAAGCCTTCGTGTAGGCTCCATGACACGGTCATGTGTCCATTCAAGTTTCTGTATTTTCGCCACCTGTCATTTGTGCTCGAGCATGCGACTCACAGTTACTTCCCGAAATGGATTAGAGCGTTCTGGCGTTGCGCGGACGACCTCTCCCCCCCCACCAAGAGCAGATGGCCTATGGGCTCATGCGAACGCCGAACTCTCGAACAACTCAACCCGGTTGACAAAGCTCTCTACTCATTTATCTTTTGCATAGCGCTTTCAGCCTCGGCTCAAACATTTCTCATCTTCTTACAAAGTTTTGTGTAACATGGATGCACCGGACAGTTTTACGACGAGTAACGGAGCCCGAAGTAAGCTTCCAAATCGCGATTTTTGTTCCTACTGACACGCACTTCAGACCCCCCAGGCAATGACATGGTGTCTCACCCATATGGAAATCGACCTGTAGCGTCCATGTCGGCCATGTCGGCCCCGCGCGGCGTCACGTCGCAGATGGCGAACGAGGTCGACCGTAGCGCCCAGCGAGAGCAACCACCTTCTCTTGCAGACCTTCCTTGGAACAATCCCGCCGTGACGTACACACCCGCACACTACACGCGTCGAAATCTGCTGCAGGACCGGCTTTTGCAGAGCAACGAATATCATCGCCGGCGAGTCAGGGCAGTCATTGAGTTCTCCAGAGATTTATTGATGCGGCTTGGACAGAACCAGGACGATGACGACCTGATACTATACATGATATCCAAAGATCGCCTTCACGACGCATGGATTGATATCTTCCTTACAACGCCTGACTACTATCTGCAGATGGCACCAGCTGAGATTCAAGAAGTATACCATAAGCAGATTGCATCAATGTCAAATGGGGTAAAGATCGACGAGGAGTATACCCTGGGTCGACCGAGAAAGCGAAAAGCTTCTGAAACTGAGAACGGGGTCCAAGTACTTCGCACAGCTAATGCAGTTAACAATGCAGAAGGACAAGTGCATGAGTCTGGTAAGCGACCCCACCACGAGATCTCCGCACTGGCAGAAGAATCACTGTATCAGCATCGCTCGTCACTACCCTCCGAGAGTCTACTTTCAGCTTGTTCGTCGCAGGAGCTGGACCGCATCTTAGACATGTTCATGCCAGCTCTGAGCGCTCAAATTGCTATCCCCACACATGATCCGATAGCGTCTGCGCCAGAGGCGGTGCTCAACGCGATGGCGGTCGCACCGGCAGTGGTAGTAGCACCTCCAAGTCAGCCCGTGATCCCGGTAGCTATGCCTCCAACAGGCGTAGCCCCCCAGCCTGGCTTAGCGGACCCCATTGCTGCTTACATGGCTGGTAACCCCTTCAGAAACACACAAGATATCGCCGGTCAGGGATGTGCAGGCATTGCAATGTCCCGTGGTCAGATCCGTGCCTTTGTCGAGATTCAAGGTAGACCATTGGCAAGCCTTCCACCCGCGGCCAACTCCCACCATCGTCATGAGCTGAGGGGTGTGGCTCCACCAAAAACGGTTGATCCTACTTTGATCAACTGTGTCACGACTGCGCAGGAAATTCTCACTGTAAGTCTACTGCTCCGATCTGAAAAGCGCTCACTGATACTCGATCAGTTTCTTCCATTTCAGACCGTGAACTACGAGCTTTGGGATCGCATTCGGAAGTCCTGGGCCCCAAAGGCGATCGCTGATCTCATAGTGAGTTTTTGAATCTCTTTCCATAAGTCACATATACAAGCTTATGCTTACTTAACCAGGCCTATGTTCGTCAGCTACGCTCGGGTAAGAGCTTCCACCGGACGACCTTCCACCACTATCACGATAACCGACCGGAAGACATACCAGAGCATACTTTCACCACGAACGTACCTTCAAACATGTCACCGAGAGGGAAACTGGACAAAGATGCCCGCACCTGGCCTCTTCACGACTACTTCCTTTACCATCTGGGGGACGGAGTAGTGCATTACCCCGCTGGTCGCAACGCACAGCTCATGACGCACTGCGTTTGGCATGTGCGGAATGTATCCCATGACATGGATGTCAAGATGTCGGAGATCGTCCAGTATGCAGCGAAGCACGGCATATCCGTTCCCGCTGCGGATCTGATTCAGCCGGACACAAACGTGGTATTGGAAGACACGCCTTCGCCGGCCTTCCTTGCTATGATCCACAAACATTTTGTGAGCAAGTATGGTAAAAGTTCTGGCGGCATCTAGGAAGCCATACCAGATATTGGAGACTCGGTTTCGTGGCGACTCAGTTATACGAACAGGAGATGGCTTTTCTGTTCAACATTTGCTGTGGTGTCCCACATCAGTGTTCAAGAACGCTTCATTCGCATGACGGACCGGACGCGGATGCTTGGGCCTTCTAACCCTTGACCTTTCCTTTGGATATAGAGCTATGGAAATGCTACACAGGAGCTGTTTTGGCAGACTGTGACGCGGAGAGTGATGATCAGACGGCGATATTCGACACATCAAGTAAAACTCATGGTGCATTTTACTTTGCTGCCTGCGTAATCTCGTATGGTAATACAATTACTCTCCTGACCTTAGCTAATGACAAACGCTGGATCCAAGCGCGTGTGCACGTGCCGTATCTATTCACGTGTGGGTGGGGTTATATACTAAAACCATATGACCGACAGACCCTCTTGACACTACCACAGCTTTGACATCACCAGAACGAGAGCAAGCGACATTATGAATCAGAACAGCGGTAAGTCTCCTCAGTCGAATCCCAATCTAGCCTACTTGGGGTTCAATGTGCTAAATACGACCGTCACAGATCTCGCGAATAGTGCGGCCTCTCCTTCAGGTGGCTCAAGCTACACGCTGAACCACATCATCAATTACGGCGGTGACGATAATCTCGCTCAAGTTCAAGACTATCAAGCGTCAGATGAACTGACTCGCAACGGACTGCGCCGCGAGGCCGCGTTCAATACAACCTCGGTCCAGCTGATCATCAAGGACTTCTGCGACTCGAGCGAGCGACTGGAGCAGATCGGAGCCATGGCTCCCACACAGAGTGGTCTACAGTACTGGGTTCGCGACTCCGCCAACGGAAGGGGTATCATCGTTGCCGAGTGTGTCGAACTCTTGAGGTACGCGCCCGGATACACCGTGCGCGTTCCGCGTGACGTGCGATTAGCATTTGAAGCCCTCAACACCCTCGAACTCGTAAACCAAGCTATGTATCACAGCCTCTCGGGGTATCTACGATACCTCGAAGCCCAACAGCCGGCGCAGGCTCTCCAAGCTTACCAACCACCACCACCACCTATTCTACTTAAACGCCAGGACCAGATCGTTGTACCGCAAGGACCTAGAACATCCGGCGTTCGTTCCAGTGGTTCCGCTGGTATCCATCGGTACGAGTGGCCAGAGTCTCGTAAACTTGCCTGGCTTTGCATCACCCCACGTATGGTTCTACCTGAGAAGGCTTTAGAATCCTCATACTGTTCCTTCAACAGCGTAGCGCTATGGGATCATGTTGACGTCCGACTGATTGGACCCAACATCGAGGTGACTCTTGTGGAGATCGCTGCGGTAGGCTACTCAATCCATCCCCCATGCGCGCAAAATGAACTGACGAACGATGCAGTTCTTTCCTCGAGCAGCCTCATGTTGGAGGGCTCTCTGGAAGCGCTTCGAGGCGAGCGGATGGAATCTTCATAAGTTACGTGAGCTGATCGTCAGTACTTACTGCCTCTGTCTTCAAGAACCTTGCTGACGAATCTCAAAGTTCTACTCCCGCCAGCTTAGTGTAGGCGATTTACGGGCCCACTCCGCCGGCAGTATGAAGAAGCATCGACGAGATGCTCGTGATCACTCTTGCGCCGCCGCCGGTCTTACGCTCTCTGCGATCAATACTGATCGTGTGAACTCAACTACCGAGTTCTGCGATCTTCGCGACTGCTTCCTTGTCAGCCTGGGCGACGGACTAGTATACTGGCCTGGAGGAGCTGATCAGGGGGTGCTGACCCTTGCTGTCTGGCACGCTCGTCGACACGGCCATAATAACGTACGACTATCTCAACTTGAGCGTTACGTCGAACAAGTACAAGAGGAAATGGTTAAACTATATGGTCCTCTTCCACAGCCTAGTCCCCTTGGTCTCTATCAGACTGATTGGGAGGCGCTGGAGCGAATCTTTCCGCAGCAGACTTACGATGCGACTCGGGTTCATGATCCAACCTACGATGTTGTCCGAAAGTGGTGGGCAGCGGGACGGTATTTTCACCAAGACTAAAGAAGTCATGACCGCAAAGACGCTTCAGGAAGATGTACATAGCCAGCCAACAGGTCTTTCTATGCCTGGCTGATGGATGGTCATAGCTGGCGAAAGGTCATGTTAGATATTCAGAGCTGTGCCTACAGCTTACGCTGTGTTCTTAGCGCAATGTTACATGTTCTATGTCTTCCCACTAAAGGCCTATCTTATCAGTGTCTTTCTTACTGACAATATGCACATTGCTACCCATTCCAGTAAGCATTGACGATGTCAAAATGGAACTAAGACTAACCTCGTTGGATGCGGAGCTTCACTACGCAGCCTTTTCAGATTGGTTCTCGTACTAGTGTGTTTCTTCCAGCGCCCTTTCTGGCCTGTGTGATACCCGAGGCAAGAATCTGGCTCAAACTCTGCCTCCTCTCCAACTTTACAGGCTTTTGCCAGACCCTATACGACGGAAGAGCGATGCGTAAGTTGACACCCCTTGTCTGAAGGTCATGTATTGCGTCAGTCTACGCAGCGCCTGCACAATGTTGGTAAAGCTCATCATAGCCCTGACTCTAGATCCACAGCGCCGCGCAGAGACACCTATGACGGGTCTCTAGACCTCTTCCAGCGCACAATGCTCGGTATACCTAGCACAACAATGTCGGAAGACTGCTATGTGAGGGCAATTGCCCCTCCAGGGGAGTATATGCGCCACCTGAGCGAAAGCACCACATACCTGGGTGTACAAGGACTATTCACAGGCCCGGGAGAGTACGATACCTACTTTGATGACACGAACTCTCTGGGAGTTGGGGGAGAGAACTTCGGCCTCGAGAGCTGGAATACGACGTCCAGCAAGCCCGCGATCGTCAACCGTTCACAGTGCACTTCGAAGCGCAACGCTCAATTCCCGCGCGCGACGACCAACCAGGCGACGATCAGCTCCAGCATCAACACCGGTAGGTTATCTTCAGTCAAAGGATGTGATAATGTATCGCTAATACACGCGCTAGCCTTTCCAGCATACGACTTTGACTATGCGATAGCTTATCCGCATAGGATAGACGAATTCGAAAACGCTACACCCCCCTTCCCATACCCGCAGTCGCTTGCAGGAGACATCACAGACGTCGGCTTTGATACTCTCAATCAACAAATCCGGAGACGTCCGCAGCTGGGCTTCGACGAGAGGAGCTACGGACAGTTTGCATCTAAGTCATCTTCTCGTCTTCAGAAGCCTCGGAATAACATCGCACCTACGGAGCTCACTCTTCCGCAGAATTCAGCCCAAAATTTCCTCTCTCCAGACCCGCTCTACAGCGCACAGCCTCAACTTCTCCCCGATTTGAAGGGCGCACCCGTGCCAGGTACGAATCTGCTCAGACTCAGCCACGCATGCTTTCTGGGGACTATACCCCTTCCAGATATGGCATTTCATGCGCCTGGTATGGCCATATCTGCAAAGACTGAGGAAGTGCTTCGACGACCTGTACCAGAGTACAAGACTGGGGCCACTTCGGTGGCGGATGTATCCATGTTATCTGGTATGTTGGCCGTCCACCCCTCTCTTACTGTTACTTGGCCTTTGGTCACTGGCATCAGTCCGTATCGATGCATATCCTTATCCCATCTAATTACAATTTCTAGGAGATAATTCCCGGAGTGAACATGAACTCTTTGATGAAATTTAGTCACCACCTAAGTAGATCGAGCACTTCACCGCCTCGAGAGAAGAACACTGTGAAGGATGACTCTAGTCGAAAGATCGCGGAGGAAACGTGGTTGTCGTTGCTCTATTATGCCAGCATTAGATTCACCGAGTCGGTGAGCGTTGCGCACTGTTTGCAGCTGGGTATGTCGAGAACTGCTTTGTATAGCACATACCACATTAGATCAATCAGACAAAGTGTATCTGACCCGAAGATTGGTCCTTTGAAGTTTGGCAGCAAACCCGGTGTATTGAAAATCAAGCAAGATCGAGTACATTAAGATGATATCAGAGCTGAGCGACCATAGCGCATCTCGTACTCGACGCCTTGTAATCTATGGCGAGAAAGCTGCGGTGTTTAGAGTCTACCCGTCAAGGCCACTTCTACCGCTGGAATTATTGTCTTTTAAGTGTCTCTTAGCGTCGCGATAAGCCTTTTTAGATCTTATGATCTATTACAATATTCTGTAAAAGACCGTTTATTGGAAAGCAGATGGTGGCCGTGAAGGCATCATAGAGGCTAGCGCAGCCCCTTGGCCGCAACAGCCGAACGCGGACGTTGTACTCTCGTCGACCCTTTCTTTCGCCATGCTCAACATCCAATCGCTACACCGCGCCCTACTTAACTCGACATACACACTGCAGCCATATGTCACCAAGCTCGCTAGTGTACCCATCCAGTGCAATTCTTGACAAAGACATCTGGTAAGGCTCGCTTGGCGCACTGAGCCCATCGTCCACTGACTTGCCCGCCTTGCTACAGATACTTCCAAGGTTTACTCCAAAAACTGATCGACTATCTTCGAGATCCTTGCCGCAACCATCAGCGCACCGCAAATTACTCCGCTAGGCTCACGGCCATCTCCGCCGAGGAAGCCATCAATGCCGCCGCAGCAATTCCCCAGTAATTGGGCGCGACACGAAAGCCATTCGTCCACGGAGCGAGCCTCTGAGAGCGACGAGCCCTCGCGTACACCGCAGTCCCACCCTATCGGTGCGATGTGGTCCACCGGCGCAGACGAATTCGTCTTCGGCGCTACCCTCGGCGTAGATGAAGCGCGCCAGTCCGCGCATGACCATCAACAGTTCCCTGGCGCTATGTACCATGTACTGGAAGATGAACAGCCAGCGTCGTCGTTTCTTTCGCAGTCTATGCGCGATCCAGAGACTACTTCGCTTGCTGGTGACCTTTCCGCGTACGCTTTCGCCCCTCATGAGCCCCTTCCAATGCCTACAGGCAACATGCACCCCACGACGCGATATTCGACATATGATTCTCCATCTATGAGCATACCTTCTATACCTCAGGTCCATATCGCGTCCAAACGAGAACCCAAGAAGACTACGATGAGAGCGCCCAGTAAGGCCAACGGAGTGACCAAGCCTTACCAACATACAACCAGTATGAACGTCAAGGCCATCGCCAATTATGACTTTGAAACTGGGAACGCCCATCGGTTACAGCCTGCTAGCCCACTGCACAGCGGTATATCACCGCAACTCGCCACGCCACTGTCGAGCTCCCTCGGACCGCGAAGTGACTCGCTGGACCTGGCAGCAGCAAGCTTAGACGCCGAGGAAGACAGTCGCAATGACTTGCCGACACCGCATATTGAAGCCGACGGCGAGATCTCCGCAGCGATACGTCTTCGAACGCCAAGCGAGTGTCAAGGAGGCAAGAATCTTGCTCGAGCATTGGGCTTCCTTGGAGGTAGAACCAGCCCGATCGGCCCCGGCGTCTCAGGCTTTGACTTCGAATTCGCCGACCTTATCGACGCGAGGCGCCGATATCCTGGCCAAGTCACCATACATCGGAATGCGCTTCTTAATACTGAAGACTATACCTCAGCATTCGAAGAAGACGCACGGCTGAGCCGAGACCGCTGCAATCAAGCTATTCTTGAATCCTCTCCGGATATGTTACCCCGAGGCACCTACCTTCTCGATCTTGGCGGCGGCTTCCATGTCACAGTCCCGCTTGATCCAATAACCGAAGCTACGTTCAAGCAAGGTGGCCAAGGAACCATACCACCCGAGGGTCTCGTACGTATCGCCACGGAGATGAACATCGACATGAAAGACTACCGTGTTGATGGTAAACCGCACCCGGTGTACAGTATGGGCGCCCCAAAGCAGGTCGATATCCGGCTCTTGGGCTCGATACCTGTCACCATAGTGGAGATGGCCATCGTGAGTATATACTGATTGCTCGAATAAAGACACCGCAGCTGATGTATCGTATAGTGGTTTCCCGCGCATGGCTCGCTCTGGCCAGACTGGACACAGCGATTTGCTCGAAGCGGCTGGACGCAAAACAACATCGCTGACTTGATTGTGAGTTCAGTTCTCCTTTCCAGCTCCTGTCTTTCGTAGGCTAATGTTTCGAAGAACCGCGCTTACAACACCGACGCCGTCGAAGGTGTCGGCCCGTCGACCATCAGTCAGCAGACGAACAAACATGGTCGTGAGATCCAAGAACTGTCTGGCTCTCGTGGTCAGAAACAACAGCATCTGCCTGTGATCGCGACTTCTCCAGATACATCTTTCTCTTGCGAGAGCTGGACACCGCCCGACGACGAATACCGACTAGTCGACTACTACGTCCGCGATCTTGCGAACGGTGTCGATCGCGAAAACTATCCTTCCGGTTCAGACAGAGGCCTGTTTAAAAGATAGAATTTAGAATTTAAAGTATTAATTTATCTAACTAAGGTTAAAATAATGTTATTTAAACTACGCTACTGCTTACATAACTCTTTTCTACCTTATTAAATTTAACACTCTCTCTTAAGGTAGGCAAGAGTAAAGCTAAAGGTAAGGTAGTAAAAGGCTGTCTTCTAGCGGCAGCTATAGTTACCTAATACTTATTTCTTCTTTAATTCTAGCGCGCTTACGCCCTTTATTAGCCTCTAAGGCTTAGTCGCCTAGCTAAATTTCTTTCTTAACTTTCTTTATGCCTAATCGCTAGTAGAAGAGCTTAAATTTATTATCTCTAAGTAGCTTTGTTATGCTGTTAGCAGTATTAAATTTAGTGTTAACATATTATAGGTTAACTAGGCCTTTCTCTACTTTCTCTCTAATAAAGTAGTACTAGATATCTATATACTTAGTTCTTAAATAAAATATAGAGTTCTTAGCTAGAGCTAAAGCCCTCTTATTGTCTCTAAAGATAGTAACTATTACTAGTCTAGTATAGCTGCCTGCAGTAGTATTACTTAGCAATTTTATTAGCTAGCTAAGCTAGACTACCTCTTTAGTTGCTTCTAATTTAGTAATATATTTAGCCTTATAGAATAAGAGGGCTATAGTAGCCTAGCGTTTTAAACTCTAACTAATAGCTATACTATTTAGAGTAAAAATATAGCTGCTAGATAACTACTACTTTTTCTCTCTACTCTAATTAGTATTAGTAAAGCCTATAAGGTCGCCTTTTTAGTTTAAATCTATTACTAGACTCTAAGTAACTATATAGCGAAGATACCTTACTACTCTAAGAGTAGTATTAATATGCTGCTTTAAGAGGTTAGAGGTAAACTAGCTAAGCTATAAAACTAAATAGGCAATATCTAGCTAAGTACAAAGTATAAGATATATTAGAGAGCCTACTAGAGATTAGTAGAATTAGCGGTTCTTCTTTATTACCTTACGCTTATTAGTAGTTAGTACTAGGCTAGCTTCTATAGGCACTAAAATATCTCTAGAGCTGCTAAGTTAGGCAAGGTAGGTCTAAATTATTTAGCAAGTATAGACTACCTAAGTAAGGTATAGCTTTAAATATTTTCTATTTAAATACTATTAACATTAAATTTTAATGCTAAGGTAGTAGAACATAGGCCTAAGGTTAGTTATGCTAAAATAGTAACTAAGTTTAGCTTTAAGGTAGTCTATTACTTTATAGTTCTTACTAAATAGTAGTAAGTTATCTACGTAGACTATAATAAGAATACTAAGTATCTTATTAGCAAATACGCTATAGTTCTCTAAGATTAGTTTAAACTCTAAATCTTTAAGCGCGTTCTTTAGCGTATTATACTAAATCTAGAGAGCTTATTTAAGCCTATAGAGCGCCTTTTAAAGGCAGCAAACTAAGCCTAGTAAGTACTTACTAACTAGGTTAGAGAGAAGTTTAACGTAAACTGCAGTGTTAATATTACTATAGAGAAAGGTAGTTTTAATATCTATTTAGTCTACGTGCTAGCTAAGAATATAAGCTAGAATAAATAAGGCTTTATAACTTATTAGCTTTACTATAGAGGTAAAGGTTTTATTAAAATCTACCTCTTTCTTCTATTTAAAGCTCTAGATAACCTAGTAGAATTTATAGTAGATTAGTTTGCTGTCTACGTCTACCTTAATCTTATAGATATACTTTCTGCTTAGAATTAAGCTAGAGACATTTAAATTGTTAACAATCTTCTAGGTATAGTTATTAGTAAGAGATTTTACCTCTTTAGCTATAGATTTAACCTAGAGCTTACTTTTAGAGCTTAATATAGCTGCCTTAAAAGTCTTAGGCTTATTATTACTAGTTAATAGTAATAGCGTAGAGGCTGTAAGAACCTTCTAGTATACTAACTAGAGGTGCTCTTAAGATTTAAGAGTAGTAATTCTAGAGACTACTACGTTAAAATTAGTAGTGTTAAAAGCCTTTAGGCTGTTCTAGTAAATTAGTAGGTTAGATTTATTTAAAATCTAAAAGGTAGAATTAATCTCTCTCTTATTAGTTACTAAGGCAGGGAAAGTTACTATTACGCTTACTAGAATACTAGTTATCTCCCTCTTAAGCGTAGTAGTAGCTTAATTATTAACCTACTAAAAAGTTAATCTAGACACTCTAGCTATAAAGAGAATATTAATTTAGCTATCTAAAAACACTTTCTTATAGAAGTAGACGTCTCTAATAAGTATAACCTGCTAGTAGTCTAAATTCTAGACGTAGTAAAGGTTCTTAGACTCTCTTATAGAGTAGCTAAGAAGGTAGTAACGCTTACTATAATTACTAAGTTTAGGTAGCCTAATACTACTACGTAGTATAGGCACCTAATATTTATAGCTAATAGAGCGTAGGTATAAAATTAGTAGAGGCTTTTTCTATAGTCGCTTATATAGAGAGACGTTGCTAGAATTTACTAAGCTAGGCGCGTAGTTAATAAGAGATACTATAGTCTAAAGTAATTTACTATAAGTTACTTCTAGTAAATTTAAGTACTTTATAATAGCCTATATAGCAAAGCTAATAAGCTCTATACCTCTTTCTAATACTCTATTCTACTTAGAGTTTCTAGAGGTAGTAGGCTTATATTTAATTCTGCTAGCGGCGCGAATCTTTTTAAAACGCTAGTTATTAAATTTGCTACTATTATTATTACAGAGAATACTAATAGTTAAATTATACTAGTTTTTAACCTAGGCCTTAAATTTAATAAATAAAGTAGTAGCTTTATCTTTAGTTAAAATTAGTTAAATCTAGTAAAACCTAGAATAATTGTTAGTAATAAGAAGACTAATAACTTTCTTAGTATTGCTCTTATTATCTATAGTAGTAACAGCGCCTAAGAGGTCTATAAATAGGCGCTTAAAAAGGCAGGTAGCCTATTATCTAGGTTCGCAGTAATTTAACTAGAAGAGGCTAGCCTATAGGTAATTATTACACTTATCTATAGGCTTACTACTAACCTTTAGGCTAAGTAAAATTAGAAGCTTTCTAAGGCGCTGCTTACCTAGGTAGGTAAGCTGTTAGTGCTAGATAATTAGAGAGACTTTCTAATTAATTACTATAGCAATGTACGTAATTAGTAATAAATTTTAAGCTTACTACTTAATATTTAAGGTATAGAGGTCTATCTACTTGTAAGACCTCTACGCAATTAACTAATTTAACGTAGTCTAGATAATATCTATAGTAAAACTATAGGTATAGAACGTAATATTAGTTAGCTTATTATTAAGAAGCGTAAGGCTTCTTTATAAAATAATGCTAAAAGAGAGCTACTCTAAATAGAGTACGTATTTAATTTTAAATAGCTTTCTAAACACTCTCTTTTTACTAGTTACTAATACTAGTAGTATAACTATACTAATGTGTGTAATTTTAATTACGCTCTCTACGCCTACTACCTACTATTCTAGAAGAGTAAGCCTAAGAGTACTGCTAAAAAATTAGTGTTAGCTAGTATAGTGTACCTTTGCGCTACTATCTAAGACCTAGTTAGTATAGATAACTTATTTGTTAAGGGCTGCTAAGATAACGTTTATCTAGAGAGTTACTTTAAGTTTCTAATTATTAGGCCTATAGAATTAAGTAATAGCAACTTATTACTTAAAGAGTTTAGCTTCTACTTACTATAATTTTAAATTATTATAGTTAGCTATTATATTAGAGTAGGCGTGCTTTAAACTTGCGCTGTAGCTGCGTTTGCTCTAGCTACTATTTATCTTATTCTAGAACGCCTTTTTAAGGTAAGCGTTTAAGAGATAATTATAGCAGTAACTATAGGTAGCTCTTAGTAGAGTAGCAGCGTATACGTGCCTATTTTATTTAGCACTCTTGCACTAGGTACAGACTTTTTAGCCTTTAGGCTTTGTTCTAAAGGTAGCTAAGGTAATTAAATCTATACTATTATTTACAAGGCGTTATCGCTTTTCTATAATAATATTAGAGGCTAATTTGTTAAAGTTTCTTAGATTTTTAAGGTTAATAATTAATAGATTATTGTATAGAGCACTAATACGCTCTTTAAATAAATTATTTAGATTATATAAGAACTAGAGATTTACTAGCTAAGGTAGTAGTTTGTATTAGAAATTAACTAACTATAGGCTGTTCTAAACAGCGTTTAGCTTGTCGTAAAAATTAGTAACATTAACGTAATTAGCTAATTTTACTTTAAGAAAGCGCCTAAACAGTGTATAGAGGTAGGCACTACTAGTAGCTTAATGCACTAATAGTTTAGCAAAAGCCTCTCTTAGTTTAACGTAGTCTTTAATTGTTAATTTAATATACGCTGTTAAGCTTATTCTAAGTAGTTTAAGCGCGATAGGCTTCTTCTTAGAGAAATTCTATAAGGTAGAGTTTAGATTAAAGAATAGCTAGAACCTTAAGGCGATAGTAGTAGATTTAAATTTATTCTGCTACTTATTGTAATTTACTAGTTCTACTAATTTTAGCTACTTATTATTCTAGATAATAGTAGTAGCTACCTATAAATCTAGGTAGTAAGTATTATTTAACGCAGGCTGCTATATTGTTATAAACAATTAGATAGCTTATTTAATTATAAGTAGTCTACTACTATTAGTAGTAGTTCTCTGCAGTAGAGCTGCTACTATAGAGGTAGTCTTAGTAACTAGCTTATAGAGCCTAGTAGTAGCTAGAGCTTAATTTAGTACTTAGCGAGTATTCGTATTAGATATTATAGCGCAAGCCTAAGCAGGTACTAGTACTCTAGAAGGCGTACTAGTAGCCTTAGAGACACTAGCGCTATTAAAGCCTTTCTACTATTAAATATTTATCTTGTCTAGGCGCTCTTGTTTAGCAGCTTACGCTACAAGAGCTTATTATTAGGCTATTAGAGGCATGTTGCTATTATTAGCGTCTAACGCGCTAGAATCTTGTAATTCTTTATTAGCGACAACTAGTTTAGGCTTATATTTGTTAAGTAGAGAGTTGTAGTTTAAGGTGCTTATTGCAGAGAGAGATTATAGTTACTCTATAGGTTTTTTAACACTAGAGCTCTAGTTAGTATTATTAAAGCGTACCTATAATAGGCTGTAGTTTCTTAGAGAAGGCACTAGAGTATTTAAATAAGATAGGTTTATTATAGCAATAATAAATAATAACGCAAATTAATAAGCTGTTAAAAGAATAAGATAGGTAAGAAATAGAGTCTAAAAAATTTAGCAAGGCTTTACTATCTACCTTAGCTAACCTTTTAGATATAAATTTACTTACTAGCGCGCTAAACTGCCTTAGGTATAGTAGTTTCTATTCTAGGCTTATAATATAGTAAACTAACCTGCAAGCTTTCTAATTATAGACAGCGTCTGCTAAATATTATCTTAGATAGTTAGCACTCTTTTTAGCAGAGCCTAAAACTAACTATACTTAGTAGTAATAATTATTAGTAGTTGTATATTTGTATTAACGTTTAAAGTTTCTTACACTCTAGTATAGAGACTAAGTGCTAGAGTTACTAAAAACTTATTAAAAAATTTAAATTTTACGCTAGAATTATGCTAAAGAGATGCTATCTAATGTCTTGTCTAGCTATTACAACTACAGAGTGTTATAGGTTAACCTAAAGAATTTAAAATAAGCTAACTACTGCTAACCTCTAACTAAAGATAGAGGCAGACTTAGCAATCTTTAGAGATAAGCTTCTTTTTAGCATTCTGCGAAGAGCGTCTTCTAATTTATTTAAATTCTAATTAATAGTTTACCTACACTAAATAGTACTTCTACAGAGCTACAGCTATTAATAATTCTTATTTTAATATAGTTTCTCTAGCTAAAGGCTATTAGAAGTAGCGCTTCTAGCACCTATTTAGGCGTCTTTAGTTATTAGGCTGCTAAAATAGGCTTCTAACCTATAGACCTAAAGGTTGTTAGTTTTATAATATAAGTATAAAAAGTTATAGAAGATGTGTTAAATATAATAAGTTCTAAAAACTACAATTTAGAGGATAATAAACTAACGCAGTAAAGCGCTAGGCTTATAACCTGTTTAAAAGATAGAATTTAGAATTTAAAGTATTAATTTATCTAACTAAGGTTAAAATAATGTTATTTAAACTACGCTACTGCTTACATAACTCTTTCCTACCTTATTAAATTTGACAAGGCTATCTGACTTAATTGATTGAGTATGTTGTCGACAATTTAGACGAGTGGGGTGATCTCTTGCTTAGCGATGTACAGTTTATCGATGATTTGGGGGGTTACTTCTAGACAATAAACCCTTCTTTTGGACCTGGAATGGAGAACCTAGACGAGGAGGCGTTTCGCTGTTACAGGCTACAATTAAAACAATATCGCAAGACGATGGCGGATTATCGCATCTAGCAAAAGAAGGACAGAGCGAGAGTTGTGATGGGGAGCCAAGACTAGGCTCAGTGATTAGTGAGGCTTAGCTCTAGACATACTAGTCATGCTAGCTACCGCTGTGTTCTCTTATCGTACTTAACGAATGCGTGTCATGAATAGATCTGAAAGCTGTCTCACGGAGGTCTCAAAGCCATCCCCCAACTTTCGATACTGCGATAATCCCATTAGGAGACCGCCATCTCGCCATCGCGGTCTCACGACACGACTCAACCATATGAGGAACACAGCCCTGAATATCTATCGACTTCGGTTAAAGTGTCTGCGGAGTATTTCGATGAGGAGTCGTTCGTGCGTCGTCCTGGAGCAACTGAAGAAGGGCTGTCGGAAAAGTTTGTTGATGAAAACAAAATTGCGGTGGGATGCGAACTAGGCCGAAAACTGTAACGTCGCTCCACGGCTTTTGTGCGAAGCGACCCGGTTACAAATTTTCTCCCATTGAGAAGCTTCCTCTTGTCTCAAGGATCAACCGGGAAATGCTTCAACAAGGTTCCTCACTTCCTGATTGGTCAGGTCATATCCTGGCGATAATGTTAATGTGAGCCATGCGAGGGAAACAATTGAGAGCTTAGCATCAGTCAATCATTTGGCCAGTTCCTATCTTTGGAATACTTGTCAGTCCTCTTCAATCTGCAGAGTGCGTCACACAAGATCAGCCACGATAAGAGAAGGAACGAGTCAAAGGATTGATGGATTTATATATCTACACACGCTGCAAGGTCGAACAGAAAGACCGCAAGTACCGAACTTCAAATGTGGTGGCGAAAGAGCAAGGCTCATTCGTGTGTTGAGAAAGGTCCAGTCCGGGGTAGAGGCAGCGTATTATGTACCCCTTTTTGTCTTCACGAAAGCTTCATTATCCTACTTTCTCACACGTACATTGTGTACACTTTTCCTTGTGACTTAATCAAGAGTGATTAGTGTCACGAAAAAGTCAGGTGGGTTGATGCTATACTTCAGTGCCTCTGTCGCGCAGATCACTGAAGTACATGAGAAGAGACGACCAAACCAGTGGAAGTCATGCTATAGGAGAATCTGGTCGAGTATCATGAGCGTTGCATTGGAATGAGACACATGGGAAGACTACGAAGCAGTTGAATAATAGATCCCGCAGTTGTTCAAATAATTTAGTACATGATTCGTTCGTGTTGCTGCGACATTAGTTTATGAGACGGGTAATTTCTAACATAGTCGAGCGGTTCACACATGTGACATTCACACAAAAGGCAAAGTTCATTACACTAAGCACACAGTAATTTTGAGCAACGTAATGTTGATCTCAGACAATATCACGCACGATATCACATCCGCGACTGTTCCCAACAAGATTCCTTTGTTCACGTCGACTGAAACAATTCGCACGTTCACTCTTATCCATTGGCACGTCTATGACTGTAACGCTGAAAGAGCCTCGCTTACAAGCTACGAAAGGCAGTCTAGACGTCTACATGCCTCCTTTCCATTTATCTGCCAGTATACCATCCTCACACTTGAACTTCACCACAACACGCCGCTCAAGCCTCAGTCCTCCCACCTATAGCCGTGAGCCTCTACATCCTTCCTGACCATAGCCCGATACTCCTTATGCAACGCCACATACCTCTTCAAGAAACCCGCATCGCTGTAGCCGGCCTGCAGATTCCGATCGATAAGCCAATACGCAATGAACGCATCTAGATCAGCCAGCATAAGCTTCGAGTAAATCATGAGCTGAGCTTGAATGAGGGCTTCGGTAAAGGGACCGCGGTCAAGACCCTGGGGGAAATTGCAAGGATGAACACCCTCGGCGCAATCGATAAGCGCGTATGGTATCTTGGCGATGTCGAAGCCCGTGTGTCGGTTCACACCGGGTGTGTATGTGTAGTGACCGGTCGTGTGGATGATCGGCTGCGGTGGCTGCGGTGGAGCTCCTTTGACAGGCTTTGTCACTCCCTTCTTCTTTTTCCAGTCTTTTACCCAGGTGCGTGCGTCCATACCGAAGAGACAGTCCAGACCCTGGAGAAGGTGCTGACGATTCTTCGTGATGAAATGTCAGCTCAGTACAATACGCGCGTTCGGGTAGCCATGGAAGAAGACTCACGATGATCCAAGCCTGGACTTTTGGTGTGATTCCGCTCTGTGCAAATCGGGATTGTACTTCGGGAATCTGCGCATGAAGGGGAAAGAACTTCAAATGAGTTAGCAGTATCTCGAGAAACTGTCAGGAGTTGCATACCGTAAGAATCTCCAACGCGGTCAACGGGATAGTGAAGACGGATAGATCGAATTGTGAGGGGGTTACAACACTGTGCAGTGGATGGAAAGGCCTCTGCAGTACATCGCGGGGCGGCATTTTCTTGTGCAATCCGGTATGGATGAGTTGATGCGATACGGACGGCGAGTATAGATCCGTGAACCCAGGTCCAAAGTAGCGCATGCTCTTGTCACCTTCAGGAAAGAAACCGTTTTCGTTGAATCTCACGCGACCTTTCTTGACTTTCCTGTCGTGCTCTGAATCGAAGTCGTCGTCATCATCGTCATCGTCGTCAAGGGTAGAAGTCGCTCCAGATCGCGCGCGCTTGTGAGTGTTTGCTCGTGGGGTAGCGCCGCTAGACGCGCGCGGACGCTTCTCTTTGTCACTGCGACTAACGTCGGTGGGATTGCGAGGTGTTTTCCGGGGCGCTTTGGAGGCAGCACCGCGCTGGCGGCCGGTGGTGGGACTGCTCATGACCGTGGTCGAGACAAGACACTAGAGACGAAGGGGCTTGATACCGTTAAAGACTGGGCGTGTAGAAGAGACTTTTTTTGTTTGCCAATACTCCCTCACTCCAGGAGATAAGCGAGCACCCTAGAACCGACTTTGACGTCAAATTTTCACATTTGCTTGTCTAATCCTAGTGAAATCTCCATCTCTTCGAAATATTCCACGTAAGAGAATGTGCAGCTCATCAACGCGACAAATCCGGGGGCGGAGGGGAGAGCGTAGCGCTAGTAGACCGGTCCACGGGATTCTGGCAAATGAATCGATTGTCTGCCTAGCAGCGGAGCAGCAATGAATGGGAACAGGCTACGATTTTAACTCGGACTAGGGCCTAGTGTTGGTACGGGCTAGCCATTGAGAATATCCTTTGGTAGGCAATATGATTGTGATAGCTTTGAGGAGCAATGAAAGAGTTGGGCAGTCTGAAATACCAGTCGTCCGAATTGATGAATATCCTGACCAGTGACTATACCTACTCCCGCATCTCGTTCTGATGAGACAAGGTCCAGAAACGCTGCACAATCGCATCAGGAAGCGCAGGCAAGTGCGTCTTCATCGGGCGCACCACCAGCTCCTCACCCTTTCCCAGGCAGAGAAGCACGGCAGACCCATTGCTCGTGTTCTCCTTTACCGTTGTCTTCAACTCCCCCAACAACCATACAAGCTTACGAAGAGCTGCTTGTCGCTTGCTGTCATCCTCGTAGTTCTTCCTCATCTCCTCTGGGGTGAAGATCTTCTCGGTTGAAGAGAATACACCATCCTTGTTCGTACCAAGAGACCACCGCGAAGTTCTCCCAACCCAGATCTGATCGAGGGGCTTGCTCTGGTTGTTGCTCTTTAGTTCCATTGTCTTGCTGTGAGAGATCGACTTTCCTGCCAGAAGCACGGTGGTCGAGTCAGAGCTTTCGAGTCTGATGGTAGTGTTCGCAATCTCGGGCTCGGGGTACGATGTGGATTTCGCCAACATTTCCTCGATTTCGTTCCGGGAGGGCTGCTCATCGGGCATGTATGCGTCTGTCTCTGCCCTTACCACGATGTTGAGGCCACCAAAATCGTACTGTATGGTATGGTGATGTCCTTCCGCATCTTGAAGATCTGGTTCTAGTTGCGTCGTCCAGGCAGCCTCAAAGTTACGCCCGTAAGATCCGTTGGTAGAGCCAGCCATACCAGATCGAAGCCTTCGCCCCACGATCAAAGTATTGCCAACGACGTGGAGCGTCAGTGCGAACGGCTGGCACGATACATTCTTGACGTATGTAATGAGCGCGGTCATTGATCCGCGAGCGACGAGGACATCAACGTCGTCGAAACGCTTGCTTGGCTTCATAACGGTAAGAGCCTGAAAGAGTGGTTCAAACTGAGATCGCGGTACCTTGGCTACATGTTGATCGATGTAATAGCGCCCTGTGTCCGGCTCCAGTTTCAACGGGACGGGTGGCTTCGTAAACATTGGCGGAGTACCGGGAACGTAGATAGTAGGGGTATCGGTGTACGACTTGAAGCTGTAGCTGCAAAGAAGCTCATAGCCCTTATCCGACACATGGTTTGGCGACTCGGGTATCGCCTTGGCCATCATATTGAAGATGATCTCGTTGCTCGTGTTGGCGTTCATCCAAGGATCATCCCGTCTGCGCTTTAGATACCTCTTCCACCAAGCCACGGCGGACTTCCACGTACTGCCTTCGACGTAGACACGGTCGAGGGCGATGATGGTAACCGAATAAACAGCTAGTGCAGCCAAACCCTGCCACTTGCTCCATGACTTGGAAATATCCATATCGGCAGACACCAGGTCCGACTCGTATACTGCAGTCGAGAGTGGGCTCAACAACGTGGAGCAGGTGCGGAGTCAGGAGGATCGTGTGCTGCACTCTTGCTTCAGTAGTCGATCTAGGGGTTGAGCGAAAGTTAGGTAGAAAGGTGATAAGCTTCCGGGTGGTCGGTGTGTTGAGCTAGGCGGTGGGATGGTAGAGTTCGTATATATCGATGAGCAATAAGGTCAATATATGGCAGGAGAAAGGCGAGGTCACACTCATAGGCTGCAGCCAATAGATGGTAGTAATGCAGGGAACGACCAACGTCTGCCATGAGTGCGTGCTTCATTACGCCGACCCCGATAGGGTTGAGTGAATTCATAGCGAGAGAGCTGCAAATCGCGGTCGGCAATCGCTGCCTTCGAGTCTATAACTCGAGATTAGCGAATCCGGTGATTGCCATCAAAACTAGCAAATCATCGCGCCCACAAGCAGACTGCAGTGGCATTCCACGAGCTTGACCGCTCCTGCGTGTTCGCATGCCTAGATTGGAGGAAGTAGTAGGGCGTTTGTCAAGCTACCATGCCGAAAGCGCAGTACAGTCTGATAGGATCAGTCTAAGGTGGCCGGGTCATCCAAGCGTTTGTCTCGGTACAAAGCATGGCGACGATATTGATGCGGACAACGAATCATTGTGCTCGTCTCGTTGACGATCGGTATGTCGGCGGGGAAAGTGCGACCCTCTAGGTATGTACATTCTCGATGAGTTTTGTATTGTCGCGTTAGTGCGCGAGTGTTGACTCAGCATGACGAGCATGCGCGTAGGAGAAGGTTGTTGGGTGAGGTTTGACAGCTCGGTGGCCGGAGTTCGAGGACGCGACGCGTGTGCCACCGTGCGCTGACGTAATAACGCGATCCCAAAAACGCGCTACGACTGCGCTAACCCCTGAGAGCTAATCACGTGTACTCTGAGAAGCTCATCATCGCCGCACAGTAAACGTCAAGCAACTACTCGACTTTATTGCGCTACGCTAACGTACAGCCTACTCCGACGACCACAGTAACTATCGCGGCGTGGATGTGGGCAAAGTCCCCGCCCCTCCCCCTTGCGGCACCACGTCATTCGGATGACCCAGACTCATCTCCGCACTCGAACCCCCATTTCCTTTTATGCCCACAAGCTCCGGCAACGACGATAGATCGAATGGTATTCGCTTCTTTGTACTAGTGCCAGTATGTTGTCGCTGCTTCCGCCGATGAAGAAGCCAAACAGGCGCGCACATGGCCATCAACAAAAGAATGGCGAAGCCCACCGCGATACCGGCAATCGCGCCTTTTGGTAATGGCGATTTGCTTGATGAGTCGGGGTTGGAAGGAGTGGTCTCTGGCGCAGGCGAAGGGAAATTCAAGGAGCAGGAAGATGAGCCGTCCGATGCCGTTGAACACTCGGGTGTAGGCAAGATCAACTGGATTTGCCTGGCGTCGACAAGGTTGCGCCATATTTCGTCAGATAGAGTCGTGGTAGTAGTGACGGGAGCTTTGCCTTCAACGCACACAACCTCCTCTAACGTGGTAACGTCCGTGCCGGGAAGGCTGAAGCAACCCTGTTCCACTGCCAGGTTCGTGTTCCCTGCGTTAGTACGGTAAAAGCTGTACCGATGAGTCAATCAACTGAAACTGTCATGCTGTGCTTACATGAGAAGAACTTACGATGGACAGCATGCGACTTGAGTGTAAGTAGAAGGTGTGCTGAATGTCCTCCGTGCTACATCAACCCATCCTTCTGGACATTGATTTGCCGGTGAATACACGAGGTTTGAGTGAGAAGAAAGGTAGGGGCCGAGCCAGTGTGTTCCTGGCGGAAAACATTCACTTGCCAGAGTGGGCTTGCCGTCAGATCCGCATGTCCGGTCTCTTTCCCACGATGCGCAGCTGCTGCTGCCTTCTGCGTCACACTCTCGAACGGGAAGGGAACAGTAAGCTGGTGCGGTGAACGGCGTAATTAACGACCCGTACGGGGCCGTGGAGTCTGGTGTTGTCACGGGCGACGATGATGTGCGGGAAGTGGTGTCTGTGTTGCTGGACAGGGGGGATGATGATGCTTGTTCGCTAGCAGAAGACGATGAGGATGATGTAACGGGAGAGTCGGCCATGTTGCGGATGATAGAGGATGATTTTGGCTACGAGAAGACGGCGATGAACATATGAGGATCGAAGGAACCCGTGCATTCATATGCAACGCATGGCAACGGGAACATTATAATGCGGCGCATGATACCGTCGGCTAATGAGAGGACGGTCAACGGTGTGACGAGATTCGCAAATGTTGCTTGAGTTCCGCGCCGTATGCTGCGCCGCACATCTGCCCATGTGAGAGATTGATTCTTGGCAACCAACCTTGCCGGAAATCTTATGTTGTGTATATGACAATGATTGGCACAAGGGATGATCAAACAGAGCTGCGCATGCGCAGTGAGATCCCGCGCTCGGCATGACCGACCCGCGCACGTCAACGGACTTAGGAAGGCGGAACCGAACAAAAGCCTCATAGCAAAGGATCATGAAAACGAGGGAGAGAAGGTTCGGCCGGTCTCGAACGACCAAGTGGTCAAAACGTCTCGCTCTTTGATCTACAGTATGGGTATCAATATAGTAACAAACGAAGAAAAGATCCACGCCATCAAAACCCATCAACGCCCTGGTGTGAGCGCTGTTTCCAATCTGGGCGACCTAACTTCCGGCTGTGGATGGAACAACCCATTCGAACTTGCCATCTGTGCAGGCGGAGAAATCTTGCCATTCTTCCCCACAAACTCGGGCAACGCGTCATGCTCTCCGCTCGGGCTGGCTTTTGGTATCGGCGCGTGGTGATGCTGATTTTGGCGGCGACGCCAGAGGAAGAGGAGTCCGCCGGCGATTGCCAGTGCGGCGACCGCACCCACAGTGATGCCAACAATGGGACCTGTACCGAGACGACGTGATTTGGGTTCTGGGGAATCCGCAGGTGGTGGGTTATAATGAGGAGGACCAAAATCTAATGTTGGTTCGCTGAGAGGGGTGAATGTCGCCTCTGAGGCCAATGCAGTGGTAAGAATCACTTCCATTTTCGCGGCCCAAACGGCTGTGTTGCCGCTACCATCTTCGCTGGTAAACCATTCAGAAGCCAAGCTTCCATCCGTCTGGCAGGCCAAGACCGAAGTCGAATTGGCGGTCCAGGTGATCGAACTGGTACAACTCGCGAAATAATAAGTATGCGCCGAGTAACCGCTGATAAACAACGTCAGTGACTGCCAAACATGCTGGCCAGAACCTACTCACGATGGACAGCATACTGCGGTGGTCCGGCTTGACGAATCTATAATCTGACTTTGCGTTGCCCACCCACCAGGACATCCTGTAGCCGGGGAGTATGTCAAGAGCGAGTATGGGAATGGACTGCCTGGAAAGCATTCGCTAGCACGGGTGGGGCGTCCATTTGAACCGCAGGTCTGATCGCGCTCAATGAACCCACAACTTAGGGTAGGTGTGCCAGTTGAAGTTCCACTAGACGGTGTCTCAAGAAAACATGACGACTTGACAACGTTGTTGCAATAAGACGGCGGAGTGAAAGGGGTCATGATCGAATAGGAGGGTGTCGGTCGCGTAAAGGAGGAACTGAAGGAAGTCGTCATGGATGCGGTTGCGAAATCGGCCATGGCTGAGGTCGGAGAGGCGATGAAATCGCGTACCACTTCAAACAAGACGAGACCAGCAGCGAGCATTTGTAGTACTCACAAGGGATGGGAAGGATGAGGTCAAAGCGCAGCCCTGCTCCGCCGCCCCCATGCTCCCGTTATGTGAGACCATGCAAGCCTCGCGAGTGGCTTTCCTCTCTCCAATGAGGGTGTGGGTCTATCAGCAGGCGCGTGCAGGCAGCATGCATTCCGCGGGGTGCCTTAAGCCACTTCAAGCTCGTTGGGTCTTGCTGGGATGTTGAGCGGGATTTCAATAAGGGCATGGCGTTGAGTCGCTTGGCTGGGTTGTTTGCAGCGTTTCGAGGACAAAGCATCCAGAATATGTCGGACGGCATCGTGGTTGACGTCTGTAGTACAAACGATGGATTAAGAGTATGACTGTGAAAATGCTACGCGACGTATGCAAGGCTGACCTGCTTGACCACCCTTACCTTTTGACAGCGCGATTCGCGTTTAAACTTGCCTTTTGGGATGCGGTGTGTGGGCAGTGATGGCGTTGGGGGCCAAATTTCCTTTGACAGCATAACAACTAGGTGGCACAGTTACCAGAAGATTGGGTCTCGATGCTGGCTGTGGAGGCTGTGTTATTTATGCGCTCCACCCCAAGCAATGGCATATCGCGTATCAAGCGATAGCGATAGGAACATTGTGTATGTTATAGGCAACACGATTCGGAAGACCGGCGTGTTTTCTGCGCGTCGTGGTTTTGCCAAGCAATCGCGACGGGACATTCGGGGCAATTGGGCAACGACGCAATGATGCGGAAGTAGAAGACGCGAATTCGCGTGCGCATACGTGCGAAAGTTCGCCATGATTGGAATGAGATGGAGGAGAGATGGAGTGTCGTTCAGCAGCGGTTGAGTTGAGATGAGGTTGGAGTTGTGTAGTGCAAGGCTAGAGGCTCAGGCAGCGTGGCGGCGAATTGCGGGGAAGGCGCGACCAGTACTGCAGCCCCCGACGTCTGTGGATAAGCAAACCTTGATACATCTGATCTTTGAATTCTGGCTTACGAGGACATGGGCTGATTAGTATGCTCAGCGATTGTTGTTGAGTGAGCAAAAAGGCCCGGCCTGGCAAGAGGGCAATTGCCGAGAGAACGTGACCTGGCGATATGTGGCTCCGAGATCCTCGGCCCAGCCGTCGCGACTATGTTGCCCCACAACTTAAGTTAAGAGCTGTCTCCGCCTCCGCATTCACTCGCCATCTCCCCTAAACATCGCCTTCCTCACTCACAAACCTCAATTAATTGCTCCTCTCTACTTTCACAATGACCGACCGCCTCAAGTCCA